CATAATCAGATTTGGCACCACAAATCATTCAAAACCCATGCACCGCGTTCAGGAAGTGGTGGAGTGGCGATATGGATTCCACCTGATTCTAGGGCAAATCCAATTTATTGGGAGGTGGACAAGGATGAAGGTAGGTGGGCTTATATTCTAGCAATGTTTGATTTGAAGATTGTGATTGTCCTCTGTGTTTATGGTCATAACGATGTAAATAATCAGCAATAATTCTTTGAATCTCTTATCCCCAAACTACCAGTTGGCATTCCTATGATTATTGTCGGTGATTTCAACGCAGCCCCGGATCGCAATCTCGATCGTTGGCGTATTCCACACCCATGTCCAACCTATGTTGAGGCAGATGAAGTTTTGATCTCAAATCTCACCCAATCTTTTAATCTCTTTGACTCTTATAGAAGACTTAACCCCAATCTTCGTACTTTCACTTGCTTAAGGAAAAATCTATCGGTCGTGGCTACTAAATCTCGTATTGACCTAATTCTCCTCTCAGAAGAATTACAAGGTTTTCTTCAAATTGCGCAAATATTCCCCAAACGTCCTCTTGCAGAGCTACATCACGCCATGTGTATAGTTATCCTCTTTTTTTTGCAGAAATCGGACCAAGGGAGAGGGTACAATAAACTTAATACATCCTATCTTAAGATCCATCGATTCAAATCTTATCTAAAGGATGTATGAGCTTTCTGGAAAGGTAAAAAAAAAGTTCTACAGGATGATGTGACATGGTTCAACAACGGTCTAGACTTTCTAGGGCATAAATGCAATGAATACTCTAAATTACTTGTCGCGGATAGGTATTCCAATAAAACTAGAATATTTCAAAGAATCCAACAAATTCAAACCCAAGAAGAGGCTCATCAGGAAGACGGCAATGACGAAAAATTGGCCCAAGAATTAAATGATCTAGAAGATAGTCTACTTTCTCTGATGGAAAATCGTTGGCAGGGTGCTAGAATTAGAGGGAAGATTCGTCGTTCACTTACGGAAGGAGGTATGGATGCTAGGTTTTTTGCAATGGCTAGAGCCCGACGAGGAAGAACAATTATCGACGGATAATCTCACCCACAAGTGCGAAATGGACAAATAGCCTCCTCCACTTCAAAATGCACCAAAATCGCTAGAGATTTCTTCAAGGAATTATTTACATCCGAAATACACATTGCCACAGATATCCAGAGATCTAAGGATATTGATGAGTTTTTGACTCCCCTGACTAAATTTCTTTCGGGAGAGCAAAGAAAACAACTAGAGTTACCCATTACTAAGGACGAGATTTGGACCGCACTTATGATGATGGAAGAGGAAAAATCTTCAAGAATTGATGGGCTCCCTAAGGAATTTTGGGAAGCCTCATGGGATTTCATATCTCAGGATCTCATGGAATTCTATCATAATGTATGGGATACGGGTCGGATGGGCGAGTTTGTTGGTCAAGGAATTCTAACCTTATTATACAAGAAAGGAGATAAATATAATATTCACAATTATCGCTCAATTACTCTCCTTACAGTAGTTTATAAGATGGTTTCAAAGACACTAACAACACGCCTTAATAAATTTATCGCAGACATTATTCACTGTTCCCAAACAGGTTTTATACAAGGAAGGAATATTCGGGATAACATTCTACTGATTAATGAACTAATCAAAATATCTAGGCAATCAAAGCACAATGCCGCATTTATCTTTATAGATTTTGAAAAAGCGTATGACCACGTAGATTGTTTTTTCTTGGATAAATGTTTGGATAAATTAAACTTTGGACCTAACTTTAAGAGATGGATTAGGATTTTCCATCAGAATGCAATGACCAAAGTAATGGTGAATGGTAATGTTGCCCCGCCTATATCCTTACGGAGATCGGTCAGGCAAGGAGACCTTATTGCTCCTTTACTCTTCGTAATCATTATGGAAGCCCTCACGGCCAACATACGTCAACACAAGGATATCAAGAGAATCAGGGTTACTACTATACCTGTATGTTCCTTATTCGCAGATGATCTCTCCCTTATGGTTGACACTACTAAGGAAAATTTGGAGGCCATTCAAAAGGTGATGGATAAATTTTGCACGATCTCTGATATGAGAGTGAATTGGGGGAATAAAACACTGGGTTGGTGGCTCCACCATCAAGGTGGTAGACCACTGGACAGACCTAGGATTAAATGGATTCCCCATGAAATTCTTATAAGGATCCTGAGGATTTCTCTTTCCGCTCAAGGGAAACCATCTTCTAATAATACTATGATCATGGACCAGACTTTCTCAAAGCTGGAACTGTGAAAAAATAAACATACTTCTATCTTTGGAAGGACTCTTGCTATTAACAATGTAGTATTGGCCTCAATCTGGTATAAATCAGCTATATGGGCCATGGAGAAATCGGCTATTAAGGCATTCCAACGTCAACTCGTTGCCTTCCTATGGCATCGTAATCATGAATGTACTAATGCGATCAGCAGAGTAGCTTGGCTATCCTTAATCCAACCCAAAGGTAAAAAGGGTCTTGGGATTATTGACCCCACCACCCAAGCTATGACTCTCTCAATTAAGTGGATTAAGCAGCTACTCTTTAATCCTCAGATACCATGGAGTGAACTGGCAAAGGAATAAATCAGGAGACTAGCTCTTCCTACTGTTGAAGAGGTATACCCTTTCATGTGGTTGAAAAATAGATTCTGGTCTCTCCTAAAGAAATCCTCCTCTTTAGACCAAGTTCCTCATCCCTCAGATCGTCAAGCAGCTAGGGCAGACCTAGTTAATGACTCGTTCTGGATTGACCTATTAAAAGTCTGGAGAAAACTCCCTCTCCCAGATAAGGTTTTCCCGGAAAGATGGGATGAGGTTTGTCGACAACCTCTATTTAACAATCCCTTGATCAGAGACTTTCTGGGCTATACCCTTGATTGTGCAGCTTCGCCCTGAAAATGATGGATTAGGAAAGGAATCACTAGGATTAAGGACATTCGGAGTAGTGGTGATAAGGATTGGGTTAGCCCTCAGACTCTTTAGGAAAGACTTAGGTACTAATTCAGGATTCCGAGTATTCTCTGATTGTAGAATCTTAATATGTCAGCATGATCCATGGGGACTATTCCACGTTTTGTCGTGGGTATAAAGTCTCCTTTCAAAAATCCCTGTTCTCGCAGTGTACTTAACAGTTTCCTGATGGGTGCATGCAACACCAATCTTTTCCCTCTTTCGTACCTTCTGCTTTTACCACGCGATATTTGGGTACCTAGGAAGAAGAATCCGGAATCAATATGTGATATCTTAATTTCTTTGTTTATCTCTAGTCCGAGCGTAATTAGAAAGGTCGATATAAAATCACGTATCTCAATTGCGTCAGGAAGAGGGCCGGTAATGCCGTCACTTTCCGGTAGAAGCCCTAGAAAGGATTATTGACATCATTCCCTTAGATTGGATTAGAATCCTTAAAAAAGGTCCATCTCTCTCCCCACAGGATTGGGTTTCAATTTTACCTCATCCTGAAGTAGTGGGGAAAGTCCTGGAAATTGGTGAGACAGGGGAGGTTCATTTGTTGCTGTTTAATTTACGAAACGATGGTTTTCTATCACCAACGGCTCAGCAACAGACAAGGTGGTTTGAACAGGATACTCTTTTTCGAGTCAGGGCGCTGTTAATGGAAGGAAAATTGATTTCCTATAAACCGGACACCCCCATCTCCCACCTCCCTTTTGATTCAATTTGCTGGTCTTGGTCAGGACACTTTCCAGCAGGTCCCACTCATATCAGAATGCTTCACAATTTAATAGTTAAATCGGTGTATAGGATGTTTAGACCCAAGGTGGGCCTTGGAGAAAGAGTTCAGAATCGGTGGATGAACCATCTCAGGATATGTATGGAAGAATTACGTTATGTAAAATGGTTTCAACTGTCCAAAATCAAGCCTGCCAAAATCGTCTCGCTTCAATGGCAAATTTCCCATCGTTGTCTCCCTACCAATGACTGGTTGATTGATCGAACTTCTTTAGAACAGAAAGGAAAAGCATAACCATGGTGCAAATTCTGTAAATTCGCTTTTCCTTCCAAGCTTATACCAGAAACAATCAAACATATTTTTTTGCAATGCCCAGGTTCAGTGTGGTTATGGCGCTGGTGGTCGAGAATTTGGAATCAGATTGGAACAGCGCTCCCCTGGCCTTGGAACTGGAAAACCTTACTACTTGAGACCTGGAACCCGTCAGAAGTGGATAATTTTACTCTTAATTTTTTTTTTAATTTCTCGAAGAGTTGTAATATGGGCATTATGGGTCCGTAGGTGCACCTACGAAATGGAAGAAGTTTGCCTTAACGACCAGGAATTTACTGATTCTATCAAACAACAAATTCAAGTAGAAATCACAACTCGGTGGGAAGAGGTGAAGGAAAAGTTGGAATTTTTTTCTTTAGAATGTGACATTATACAACACATCCTAACCTTTAAGCAAGACTGGCTTGGTGGGGATCAGGGAGGGAGGGTGGGGAGGGCGGAATGGGAAAAGAGACAGAGTATTGACTCGGGGAAGACCTCATGGATTTTTCGTCTCACCTTTCACGACTGGTGCGCCATTGACCCCGGTGTTCCAATGAGTCCACTTTCGGATTTTCTAGATCTCTTTCCCCTGCCTGGTATGCCATTAGTGCCTATCTCATGGTATGGACAGGATGTGTCTTGAAGTTAAGAAGAGTACTCATACTCTTTTTGTGCAAAGATGTTCATCAGTTTTTGGGAGCGGGAAGAGAGATTTTCATTCACGTCAGTGAGGTAGATTGATGCAGTTCAGATGTGATGCTTAGCTGGGATCCCAGCATTTCTGGTCTGTTTTGTGCTAGTTGAGGGTTAAGTGCAACGTTTCAATTCAGATAAGGTGCATGATTAATATTTCAGTGTCCGATTTCCCTTAGTCCCCTGCACCAACAACCCTTATGAGGTCTCTTGTGCTTAAGGTTCACGCTTATCCGGCACCCGTTTAGGGTGAAGAGGCACTGAGATCTGTGTCTGTCAGTTTCTACATGGTCAAGGGACGCTGGACCCGGTTTCTAGCAGTTTCACTACTGTCTATGTAAAGGGACGTTGGACCCAGTTTCCAGCAGGTGCAGCTCCCCACCAATAGGAACGGAGCCATATATCCATCTAGGGGAGTAGAGGAGGTGTCTGCTCTTACCAACATTCCCTCTACTCCCCATCATAGATGTTTTTTCCAAAAAAAAAAAAAAAAAAAAAAAAAAAGTGTAACTGTGTCAGTGATCTCACAAAGAAGGAAGTCACAAGGTGTTAATGCAGCATGTGGGGGAATGAAGGCTAAAGCAGGCACGGTGACAGACATGGAGGTAGGCACGGAGACAGACACAGAAATGGGCATGGAGACAGGTGTGAAGACAGGCACAGAGACAGGTGCAGAGGCGGGGACGGAAGTGCACGTAGTACCCACAAAGCCAGTAATCCGGAAGGAGACAGACACAGAAACAGGCACAGAGACAGGTACGGATCCAGGCACAGAGATAGGCGTAGAGGCGGGCATGGAAGTATACGAGGTACCCATAGGGTCAATGACCTGGAACAGTTGCAGGTTAGGGTAATTACACACGAGATCACAGATGACAGTAATAGTTTGCACCATAGCACCGCCATTCCATAATTCCCAAGAACCAGAGGCACGGATAAGAGCGGTGTAGCGGCCAAGAGTATGTAGAATATAGGCACAAATGTGCAAACAGTGGTCTGGGTTGCCACCCGAAGGGGCACGCTGCATATCAAGCCGGCGCCTTATCAAAGCAGTCTCCAAAACAGAGACATTGAATCCCCTATGTCGAGTGTAATTACTATCCTGTGGGGGATGCAGAGCCGAGTTATCGCCATATAACTCACGTTCCTGAGCATCAAGATCAGAAGCAATGGCCAAGAAATCAGAGTGAGTATATGGTCCCCGACGATAGGCTTGCAGACAGATGTTAGTAGCAGCGAGACCACACAGATTCGGTGGAGGCCAGTCAGGTGGATTTTCTACAAAATCTCCTACAGTCCCCTTGCCAAGTCCATCCTCGGATAGCCCCTTGCCATCATCCCTCCTGTTTTGTGTTTGCCGCGTTGCAGAAAGGTCTGCTGTCGAAGAGCGTTGCAGACGTGGTAAGGATGCTTGGGGCGGCAAAAGACGAGGACGGGATGTTGGGGAGGGCCGTGGTGGGGAGAATGAACGGGTTCTTCTTCGTCCAAGAACAGAGATGGAGGAAAGGGGAGTAAGCTGAGGTTGGGAAGTAGATCGAAGGCGGTGTCTAGGACGACAAAGTAGGCTTTCTGCAGGGGCAGAACATGATGATGGAGTCTGTGTGGATGAAGTGGTTTGTGGATTAGGAAGAGGGGTAACGGATGGAGACAAAACTAGGGGAGGTAGGAGTGGTGAAGACAGGGGTGGTAGAGTTGTCGGAAGGTGGGTAACAGACATCGATAAAACCAGGGGAAATATAGGTGGTGAAGATGGGGGGGATGAAGTCAGGGGTGGTGAAGTGGTTGAAGCAGAGACAGGGGGGCCAGTCGTAGGTGAGACCCGAAGAGGGGACTCTGCAGGTGGTAATGCAGGCATGGCCACGAATGCCATGGAGGAACGCACCGAGACCAAGGACGACAAAGCAACTACGGTGGTCACGGAGGCCATGGAGAAACACACCGAGACCAAGGGCGACACAACAGTTGCGCTGGCACCGGATGTCATGGAGGAACACACCGAGACCAAGGGCGACACAACAGTTGCGCTGGCCCCGGATGTCATGGAGGAACACACCGAGACCAAGGGCAACACAGCAGCTACGGGTCGAGTTGCTCCCGCGGAATCAATCGTAGAAGCAACCAAGGCCGATGAGGAAGAGGCTGCGAACCGAAAAGGAGCAGCCAGGGTCACAAACGACATGGAAGGGGTTACTAAGACTGATGAGGATGCAGGTGCGGTAGACGCAAGTAATGAAGAAGAGGCTGTGATAGGTGTGACAAGCGCCAATAATGAAGAAGGGGTTGTGACAGGCATAATCCGAGGACAGTGTGTGGATACCCGAGAAAGCGGGTGATGAATAGACCATCAAAGCATGCTGCGGAACCTGCTGGAGAGACGGGTCACGTGCGCAGGGTACCTGTGTTGATGTTTACGAATATAGGAAGTCCATCCTTTCGCAAGCGTTGTTGGAGGGTGCCCGCGAAAAAGCATGCGGCGTGTGAGCATCGCTGCTGCAGTTTTGAAATCATACCAGTTGTTGCAGACATACTCAAACCTAGTAAGTTGGCCTGTAAACACTCCCGTCGGCTGGTATACTAGTATATATATTTGCCTATTTTTATGCCCCAAAAAAATTGTAGGGGTTTCATGCCCACACTCGGCCGCGGGCGGTCGGCCACCGCCGGCGGGATCCCGACCGCGGGTAGTAGAATGGCCCCCAGTTGCGACCGCGGGTGATACATGGTCTGTCAGCCTGCTGCCACTCAGTGTCACACTGGATCAGCCACACTCCTATCCGACTGCTAGTGGGACCTCGCACCCGGGGCTAGGTCCCACTAGCAACGGGATAGGATAGAAACGAGTTTGTGGGGCAGTTGAGTGACCCAAATCCTGTCGTGCACTACTCGTGATCCCACGATGAGTATTTTACATGTATTACCCGAAAAAGTAAGGAGATATTTGTTCCCCTCCTCCTCTCCTTAACACTGGGCATGCCCGTGCAAAGAAAGTTTCCCACCAGAATTTTTTCAATCAGTTGGGGGTGTGGGAAACCCCAAAGGAGGGTGGGGTTGGCCTTAGGCTAGGATCACACATCGCGTTTTTAACAAAAAGTCGGAAAAGTCCCGTAGGAGAAGGAACCTTCCCGTTCTCGCCGTATAAATTTTATCGCATCCCATATGCCCGACCTTCCAGGGACATTGCGGGAAAAGTGCCGATATGCGTTGGGGTGCGAGGAACCTGCGGGGTTCCCTTGGTCCGATTTTGTGTCTGACGCCTTCGCGCTGCTGTCACCGATGACTTGCGACCTAGCTCGGTGAGGGAAAATCATTGCGTCGCACACCGGCAGGACCATGGACATTCCAATGGTCCAAAAAAAAAAACATCTTTCTCCGCCAGCTTTCAGGGGGCAGAGTAGGGGGATGCCTGCTTTTGCGAAACAAGTGTCGTTTCGCGGCGGGTGTCGCGGCCTGATTGACACAATGCGCATAGTGAGTAGAAACAACCGAATTTTGTTTCGGGTCCCGAACGCCCCGGTACATTGCGGGATCCGAATTCAAGCCCGAAAATCGCCTCACTTACAATAGTGGGATCCAAGCCTTAGGCCCTACGTGGCACCGTCGGCCGCAGATCTGCGGCCCAATCCGCGGCCGACCTTCGAGGCCGCAGGCCTGCAGACGGAGTCCACGCGCAGCCGAGCCACGCCCAGGCGGGGCCGCAATGCCTGCGGCCTGAGCCCCGGGTGTCATATAGCTTAGGCCCACTGGATGGAAGATTTTTAGTATTTTACTTGCTGTTGTCAGTTCCGTACCCCCGTTCACCGTTCAAGGGGTCTGTGGACGGAAACCGGTCATGGAGTTCACAGAGTTCACAACATGGGAGTTCATGGAGTTCACGGAGAG